TGAAAAAATGATGAATATAACAACGTCGTTATTTTCCTTATAGTCGATGTGTTGGCCATGTAGAGGAAAATGGCCATCTACAAACAAGACAAAACGTTAAAGGCTAGTTTATCATATGACCCAAAATTGAATGTTGCGAAATGGTGTCCTACGGAAAGCATAACAGACCACTAAATATTAAGACAGAGAAGAGAAATTGCAAAAATCTTTAAAAAAAAAGAGACCATTCTTACATTAATGCTGGAGTTCTTTACCAGCACTTCGTACATATCTTTCATCGCGTTAAAAGCCGAAACACTGCGAAAAACAGCTTTATTACAGATACAAAGAATGTTTCATTAGAGGCTTTTGGTATGACTGATCTTTTCGGAGACTATCCAGTGGCATGTATGTTCAAGAAACAAAAAGAAATTACCAACATGTCAACATAATCATAATCCAAGTAAGAGCAAAAAAGAAAAATGTTCACGGTGACACCTGAAAAAGTATATAGAAAATAAGATCAGGTGTTGAGGAAGAGTCAGCGTCTTTTGCTTTATCGACGACTTCCGCCATGTAAACATTGATCTATCCAAGTAAGTAATGTTATATTCTCAAATGAGAACAAGGTATACAACAGGCAAACTAACGGGCATCAAACAAGCCCAGCTTTATATTGCAGAAAGAGATAGAAGATTTCTCATTGAATTAAATAGGACGACTGTGACACTTCTCAAAATATTTTCATCAACCTGCACCTTTCGAAACCCTGTGTTTACGACTTCTTGGTTGAAAATCGTGATAATGGGAATATGTCCTTGAATATCGAATGGGGATACAGGAATATTGCTGTCCAGAAATGGAAAATTCACAATTTGGAAATTGAAATCATCACCCTTATCACACATTTCGGTGGAAAGTTGTCCTGTTGGTTTCGTTACAGGAAAATATCGAGATAAGTAGCTGATGTTGAAGAGCCTATCATGCTGTTGACCTCACAAAGTTGACGAATAATCTTGTCTTCTCTTATCTGTCCGCAATTTTCTTCTGACACATTTGAGGAGTCTTTATTTTCTTTTTCCTTTTTAGGCTAAACGTACTCAATACGTACAGCCTATTGCGACGGCCTTTTTCAGACAAAATTTACCGATCCTGGCCTTCTCATTGGCTGAAATATCGAAAAGAGTTAGAGCCCTCTAGCGGCAATTTTCTGCGTAAATAATGCCGCGATTTTTCAAATCGCTATTTTAAAAGCATCAAAAATTAGTTTATTTTTTAAATAACAATACGATTACTATTTATTTCAAAAAAGAAGCACAGTGTGGTTGAACTATTGATAAATTTTGAACAATATATTTTACGGAATTCTCGACATGATGTAAGCGTACAGAACACTGTACGTGAGAGTTGGCGCCATGATAAGAAGCTAGTCTGGGGGCTTGGTTTCAATTATCAACTAACAGCACTTATAAACAAACAAAACTTACAAACAGAACATCAATTTTGCTTTAATCCTTGTCGTTGTGGCAAAATCGTCTTAATATATAAAATCACTTTTCGTCCTAGGCGCACAACCGCCGATATGACACTTTTTCAGGATTTTCACACCCACCTCATGACACTTTTTCAAGTTTTTGAAGATAAAAAGTTTGCGCTTCGTAGGCAATGTACATTTGGTGCTCATGATTTATGAATTATATATTTTTAATACTGTACTGATCATGATGCTGACTTTGTTATAACTTATATTTTTGTCTTTTAGTTTTATTTGATGAAGGTTGATTGTGTTGATTTCTCAATGTTTGTTAATGTGTATCAAAGTTCCTTGAAATGAAAATATTCCTTCAAACAAAGCGCGTATTAAAAAAACCCAAAATATTCATGTTTATAATTATCAATTAACTAGAACGAAATATTTCCATAACATATTTATTCATTTAGCGTGTCATGGTGACATTATCGAATGCATTGGAAATATAATTATAATAAGTAAGGACTATTACTTTGCAATACATTCAAAATAAAGAAGTAGGTATAAAGTCCTTTCGATTTGTTTAAATCCTCATATTGATAGGATAGTAATTGCAACATCTTGGGTATTTCAAAGGTTTTATTTAGTCAACTTCATCATAGAGCTATTTATCATTTGGCTTGTTGGCAATAAATATATGGTTGTACGTATTTTGTTATTTTTTTTTACCTATTTTGATTTATTCACATTATTGTCGTCAAATTTGAAATAAGAATTAAGATATAAAATCGCTTAGAATTAAGAAAAATAGCCTCTGGTTCTCTTATTTTAGTAATTTTTGCATTCCAAAGTGTAGGAGTATGGGGAAAGTAATATAGCTTAGCGGTTATCTGTGAACATTTTTCAATACGTTTAGCCTCTCAGGACTTTCAGTACTTTGATTCATGATCTGGCTTCGAAATAGACACGCTTCTCACGTGTAGATACTCCGGCCGGGAACACATTGTAGATCTAGTCATATCAGCGATTAAACGTTAACAAGCTTTTGGTTGAGCACATACTTGATCATCACCGTCAACAGGACGAAGCGTTATCTCCGCTGCCACGTGTTTCTGAATTACATGTAGCTATCATTTTTTTAGGTGAAGCGTCACTTCGTGTTATACTGTCTGCATAGATCACTCTCCGAGGCATCGCTCGCAGTAGTAGGTGTCTCAAACGCTGAACCATATCTAAAACCAATACTTTTATCAAATAAACACCAAATAATACCACTTTTGGGAAATAACTTTAATTCAAATGTACACGTTCAATCAGCATGTATACCAGAGAATATAGAATAAGCTTAGTCTGGTGAGAGAAAATTCACTTAGGCAAGTAAACAGTATAAATTGTTTCCACACAATAACATGACGCCAAAGAGATATTCCTAATGAAACTGCAAAGCTTCGAGTCCCTTTAAAGTTATTTGTATCAAGTTATTAGTGATATTTGTGGAAATGTTCAGCGCCATACACCAAGGTCCTGTTGCTTATCGGGATCTCGAACCCGGCTTTCCTACATCATACAGCTATGATACATGATATATGACCTTATACTAAAATGATATATGAAATTATCCTGGATCTCTTATAACGATATTTGCTGGCATCAATTGAGATGTATGGACACAGACATAGACAGTTTCTGCTTCATGTAAACTTTAAGGTATCAAGTCATTAGTCATACGTTCTCTTAGGTTAAGTATCGGGTTCCTCTGCCTATATTGCCTATTTGGTAGCAGATATGGCTGTTGCAACATCCCGAATTGGCTAGGGCATTTCAGATTTTTTTAACAGGCGACAATCTGGTGTTATTGAAAAGGATGTAACTTGAGAAACTACTGTGTTCCATTGGAAACTTATTAGGTTTCGTTATAACATGCTAATGCATTTTCATCAGGAGTTTTTAGTTCGACGATTTAAGAAAGTTACAAAACGTGTTTTAAAATATTTCATTCTTGTGCGCAGATATCCCTTGGATTTCAATCGTCTTGACGGGTTTGTCATAACATATGGATTGACTTTCTTGAGCAGCATTTGAATTCCACGATTTTTGAAAGAGTTGTTGTTATTGGAAACTTCGTCGGCTTCTTGCGCTTAAGTCACCGGAAACCGTGATGAATATAGATTTTTACTGAAAAATAATAGATCATCAGAGTCCCTTACTGAACAAGAGATCCCAGAGGGATCTTCGAGCACACCATTGTTTGATCTTTATTTGTTTTTTAAGAGGTGGATCTCTCCCCCCCCATCTCTTTTTGCTCATAATTATACGTAATTTGAATTTTCCTCTGAAGAAAAAGTGATAATAATCTTTCATTTCCAAAATCCAAGATGGTTACTTGCAAGCCATTATGTTTTTTTGATCATTCCCAAAATCAAACGTGTACATTAGAGACCAAGAGAAACCTACATATAAGATTTGAGAGAGATCCATCCAATATTTCTCAAGAAAAAGCGATAACACAAATTCTTTACCGGCGGACAGACGACGGACCCGGGATGCAAGACAATTTGAAAAGCCCGCCATCTGATGGTGGGCTAAAATATATCAGTAGTCTCAGGAGTGTCTTACTGACAATGATCAGGAGTGTCTTACTGACAACGATCAAGAGTGTCTTACTGACAAACATCAGGAGTGCCTTACTGACAACGATCAGGAGTGTCTTACCGACAAACATCACGAGTGTCTTACTGACAACGATCAGGAGTGTCTTACTGACAACGATCAAGAGTGTCTTACTGACAAACATCAGGAGTGCCTTACTGACAACGATCAGGAGTGTCTTACTGACAAACATCAGGAGTGCCTTACTGACAACGATCAAGAGTGTCTTACTGACAAACATCACGAGTGTCTTACTGACAACGATCAGAAGTGTCTTACCGACAAACATCAGGAGTGTCTTACCGACAAACATCAGGAGTGTCGTTACTGACAAACATCAGGAATGTCTTACCGACAAACATCAGGAGTCTGTAACTGACAAGTATTGGGGATCTCTTTCTGACAGTTAACAGAAGTCTCTTGACAAATATCGGGTTTCTTAATCAGTTGTGGTACAGTTTCATTATGGGCATCCTACTTCATTTAAAGTCCACCAAGAATTCTTATATCAAATTGCTCTACAGCTTCTCATGTTATTGACAATTCAACCCTGAAGTTCTAGCCCAATTATGCTGTTATAGTTAGCCCAATTATGTGTAGTTGAAGGTCATATTCCTCTGGTGTCTTTTTTGTTCATAAACTGACATTTATCAGGAGGCTTTAACCAGTAAGTATCAAGAGACTTTTATAATGGTGGATTACAAAGCACAGCTTTGATCAATCTTCCTCTCCTGGCCAAAAATGAAATTACCTTTACATTACTAAGTGTTGGATTGTTAGTGACTTCCATTCAAATTAATTCCACAATGTAAACTGCTGGTGAAGTATTGAGCTGTCAGGAACAAGATCCTGTTTTGTTTTATACCATTAGAAGGGGACAAAAATGACTACAAAGTCTACATGCATGACTAGTGTTTATTACTCATATGAATGTACAGCATGTGTTCCTCACAGAGACAGACAGCGGGCAAGAGAAATTATCTAGATCTGTCAATAATTTACATACAACAAAAGAATGCTATATGTTTATGAAACAAACTAATCAAGAAAACAGGGAAGAGGTCCTTGACTAATATGTCACTGTCATGTTCTAAAATCTGAAAATAATTGTAAATCTTAATACTTCACATTTATATATATCCACACTTGGATATTTGTTTTCAACACATTTTTTTACGGAGGTTCATATTTTGTAAATGTACATGTATTTACTCTTTCATATTTAAGTTCTGTATACATAAAGCACTGGTGAGAATATTTAGCATTTGATAATTTTTACACAAAGTTTATTAATTGTAATTAATAAGTGTTTTTTTCTCTGAGTAATAGTAACAATACTACTTTATAACATGTACATAAAAACCCAAAATGTCCCTATGTTGTTACTTAACTCAAATTAACAGTCTCAATCTTCGCACCATTAAATCTTCACATCACTGAATAATTTAACAATATCTATGGCAGCAGAGGATTTCTAATAAATAAAGACTATACATATATACAAATGTAGCATGATGGGAAAGAACAAGGAAGGTTAAATGAGAGCTTATATATGGACCTAGGTTGTTGGTAAATGTTTTCTACGGAAACATCAAGGATGTATTCAGAATTCAAAATATCACTGAACCTGTGTAAATCACTTTCACCATGAAAAAAAAAAAAAAAATCTGGCACCTTTTCAGTTCTGCTCTTTATGATAATAATTGATAACCAATGTTTTCAATGTTCTCCGAGATACTACATATCTAAATATGTGTTTGACAAGATATTTGTCAACTTGGAACTTTAAGCTTTAAGGAATATAATCAATCTCAATGCTTTCCAAGGTAAGTGATCATATACAATGTAGGCAGTCAGTATAAAGTAGAATTTATATAATCTTAAATATCATAGATCAATTCAGAAATAAAAGTCATTTCACCATTTCTATGCCTTTGATAATACTGTGAATGTGAATTAAGATGAGTTACAGTTATGGAAATACAGAAAAAATTTGTGAGGAATTCTGTTTGGAAAATTATACAAAGAATGCAGTTGGGAAGAAAAAGAGGAGAGATTTCAAAAATCTTTCCATTTCATGAAACATTATCTTAACAAGGTTGAACAAATCTTTGGAATTATTTAGACATTGTCATGAATGGCTGTGACAGCATCAAAGCTTAATAATATGAATACAGTGCATAACTAAATGACTTTTTACAACATTTTGCATTGTTCTTTCAATAAAAATCTACAATCTTATCAACAAAGACCTTTTTGTAATACCAGGACTGAAATACCTTTCCCAAAAAGCATTCAATTTAATTAAAATACAATTTAAGAACTAAAATGCATAAAGATTTAAAAACAAATCTATTTTCAAACTCTGTGAACAATGTTACTTTCTTGGGTATCTATTTTGCTCTACTTTTAAGGATAAAAAATAAAACCATGAAAACTGATTCATTGCAAATAAAAGAAAAAAAACTGCAGTCAGGTTGATTTCACAATTCCAGTGGCATCATTTCTGCTCTAAGCATGTAATTAAATCATGAAAACTTGAACCATAAAATTTGACAACTTTTACAGTACATTAACCATAATGGGAAAATATTCTAAAGATGGCATAATAACATAAATAATCAGGCATACAACTGGTTATCTACCACAAATGCAGAAATCTACTCTTGCACTAGCATGTACTACAATTAGATATACCTGACCAGTCATCAAGCTGAAGTTTTTCAGAAACTATTTTGAAGCAAAGCATGGATTCTGTGAGCACAAAGTGAAGATATATATGGAAAAGAAAAAAAAAAAAAAGAACAAAAACAAAAATGCAAATCATGAGCTGAGTTCAAGATTACACTCCACTTGGTTTCAGTACTGGTTACAAATAGGTCTCCGTTAACAATGACTGTAGTATAACTAGCACTACTCCTTCATAAAAACATAGATAAAATACAACATATCACAACAACTACACATTATCAATAGTTCATTCAAGCATCACAACGACTACATATATTTATAGATTCATGTCAAAACAATGGAAATTGCACATTTTAATTTGCTGGTTTCCAGGTGCACATTTTTGTTACATAAAGGAAAATTAAAAAGTTTGAATTAATGTAATGTTTCATATTTCAACTATCATGACATTTCATCGTATATATAACACATACTTATATTACAGAAAATCAAAAGCAGATTAAAATGCCGAATGATGGATACTGAAGTAGTGATCACTGTTATATCTCATTACATACATGTTAGTCTGGGACGACCAAGCAAGATAATACTAATGTAATAACGACACCGTTTCAAACACCAGTAGCCAAAAATGTGCACAAAAGAATAGCAAAGTTTAACAAGATATTTACTTGGTAGTAATATCAGATTTAAATACAATCATTAAAATAATAGATTGGATTTTTATATCAATATTCTCTCGAAGTACTCTCACACAACATACTATTTTCCTTCCGTAAGTCAACACAAAAATTGTGCACTGAAAAATGTTCTACATTAATCTGACCACTTTCATTCTTTGGGCATAATCATGCCCTCATACTGAGAAGGAATGATTTGATGAAGCACAGCAACAGCTGTTTCGACGTTAAATTATCGTGACTAAGATGCGACCATGAACCGCAAATGTTCAACCATCTCTGACATATCCTTTCCTGTACCCCATATGACTTGTTCACTCTGCTGACCTCTAAACTTCATGTGAACAGACCTGTTCAGACCAATTAATGAAAGACCAGATAGGCATCCCTGTAATCAGATTTATCTCCCCTCCAACACATGACAATACAAATACCCTGTCTAACATGTGACCAAATTTGTAACTCCTTTAGCACCATGAGAAAAGATTGGTTCCTTGCTTTTTGCTCCTAATTACCACCATGTGACTTTATAATTATCTCTTGTTTTGACATATAATCAGATTTAATAATATCACATATAACTTTGTGGAACTTCACCTGCTCTACCACATGCCAAACAAATTCAGGACTAGCGTCATATCAGAAGTGAAGTACTCCTAGTATATATAACATATACTCAATTCATCACATTTGTTGAAAATAGAAATTTTCTGCCAAAGCTTTTAGCCAAATTTCTTAAGTTCACGACCAAATCCTTGACAAATTATTTAATCAAACCACATGTTCGTATATAATTTTCATTTGTTCAGAGATAATGAACGACTAGACCAAGAACACTGACATACAGACATCTTGAGATTGAACATACTGGCTATATGAACAACCATGTAAACAGGTGGAAGAGAAACTTTTGTAGCTTGTCTTTTCGTCCACAAGAATGTTATTGGTTCCACAAGGACAGCTGAAATCTCATTTATACCCAATATCTGAGTTAAGATTTTACACAATCAATCAGACTTCCATCTGAATCAGTTTGAACCAAATGGTATTAGTGCTTTCTACATACTAGTATCCAGTGTTGACCAGTTAAACTCGATACCATCTGAACAGTCTTATAATTAGTCAAGATAATAATCATGCAACAAAAAATACGCTCTTCAATACAATATAAAAGAAATTTCAAGCATGACGATCTTAAGAGGCTTCTCCAAAACATGGTGGTTATATTGATCACATATAGATGTGGTTTTGGCAAATGAACCATCGACTTCGGAGTGCAGTAATGTGTAACCCTAAACAACAGGTTGCTGCTCCACATCATAAACAAGCACACCTAGATCAACATACACAACCTATACTCAAGTTTACTCATTCTTTCTGGTCCTTTTTATTACTTCCTTGGTTGGTGGCTACTTTGATGGAATTAATGGTTTTTTGGAACCAAGTGTTCTTAGACGCTTGTATTTCTGTGACAGCTGAGTTAAGCTGGTGAGTTAAGTCTTGGGTTTTACACTCAGACTCTACTAGAGCCAATTTTGTTTGTGCAAGTTCAAGTTCAAGCTCCCGAATTTGTCGGTGGAGATCTACAATCTTAGGGTTTACACTATCAGGGTCTAGTTTTGGTTCTGGAAGCTGAACTTTCCCATCAGAAGCGAACATTTTTGAACACTGATCACAGCTTTTCACCTGAGACTGGAAAAAAGAAATCAAAGTGGTTTACAAAAACTGTAGGGTGAACAGAACAAAAACATTCACACAATCAACTGCTGTCTGCCCATCTTACTTAATATAGGAAATACAAGTATAGTATGGAATGGTTTGTATGTAAAATTTACAAACAACCTTTAAAACAGTGTCAAATTTGATATTCAATTATTATAATGAGTGAACTTGAATTTCTCATTTACTCAAAACGCGTAAAAACTGACAGTGCTGACAAAACTTGTTTGACCACTAACCATTATCCTACTTAACTCCTCTCTATTGGCCGTTTGTTGTTTCTCTAACCTCTCACTCAGCTGAGAACAAATCTGTAACACAGAAACACAATATCATTACAATCAGATCAACAATTTTATCATTACAAATTACACAGATATATATTATAAATCAACAATTTCACAATATCTTATGGGTCGGTGAAATAACTTCAGATATTAATGTTTGAAAACAGTCATATATTTACAGAATATCTATGGTACATGTAACTTCAGGCACAAGTAGATTACCTCCAGTAAACATACATATCTTATTGGTAATCTTGTTTTTTTTACATATCTCATTGGCAATCTTATCTTAGCACATTTCAAGCTGAAACATTATGCTCATAGCAAATTCTGTATTTTGTCTAGATAGCAATAATTGTTGATGAGCCAGTTCATCATTGCACTAAGCCAAATATTATGCCATAAGAAAATTTGATTGTGCCAAATTAAGTGTATCTACAGTATCCTTGACCAGTAGACAAACCTGTTTATAGTCTGAAATGATGGCAGAGTTTCTGCCATTTTCTGCTTCAACACGGTCAAGTTCCCTTCGACACATCTCCTTCACCTGCAAACCATTCAGGTCACAGTTATATACAATGACAACCAACAACACCTACAGGTTGAGAAATAACAAAACGATGGTCTGGTATAAAATCACTACCAAGCTGCAGCTTAGAAACTTTCATAGCTCATGGCTATAGAGGAAGAGTTATGTCCCTTCCTCTCTTTGGCACTTCAATTGCAATTGTAAAAGAAATATATGTTGGCAGCACTACTACAGAGAAGTTCAAATAAGCATCTAGGAATGATCAGCAGTGTTAAAGACTGGATATAAAACTTATCTAGTTTCTTTGGTTTTATTCTCGACATAGCTTTGCTTGGCAAGATACAATTCCAATAAACCAGATGAATATTATATCCTTTCTATAAGTCATGCCCTGGTTAGTACTCTTTCCGACTAAATGGTGCCCAGCATACTTGGCTGTTTGTAGATGTGATGCAGCCCTCCACCTTCATACTAACCTTCATCAGGATATCTTTGATCTCCTCTACTGCATTGTTCTGATTTGTTTGCAAAGATATAACAAGAGGTCCAATTGCCATGTATCGCTCACCTGAGATATTCTTTCTTTGGATTGTTGATATAATAATGTATCCCACAAGAGAAAATACATGCTCTTAAACAAAGATCTTAATTATCCATGTAAAATATCACTGCCCTTCAGACTACCAGACGAAGGACACAGCACCACAACCTGAGCTCAAGTCCATGTTGAAAAAACCAGGAACTGTTCACTTAAATGAAGTGAGCTTTAGAAAGATGATGACATTAATTTGCCAATCAGAAAGCAGTTGTGCAATTAGAAAAAATATGTTTATATGTAGTCTACATGCTGAGTATAGAAAAGAAATATAGAGTGAGTCCCCTTTTGGTACCAACTTTTTGTCTCTGTAATGACAGTATTTCTTTATCACCATATTGCAATGACTGGTGTTTTGGACGATTACCAACTTGTATGTATGCACTGTTTATATTATATCATGTGCTTGCATTTTATGCTAATGAAGTTGAAACAGACAATGTAATAATGTTCATTCTTTATAAACTGAGTGACAGATCATTCAGAATATCAATCAGTGGTTGGTATCCTTTAATGTTCTGTTTCAATTATAAAATTTTCTGCTGATCTTCTGACATAAATGGACATTGGAAAAGTGTAATTATCAAAATATGATAAAAGCTGAGAACTAATAAAACATTCTTTTGATTGCTGAGAACTAGGCAGTATGACTGACCATTGTCACCTCATGCTCAAGCCATAATGTTTCTTACATGAAGGAAGCAGATATGAATTTTAGTTTTACAAATCAACTGTCAAGCTTCAAGCTCTTGAGATTATTACAGGATAGAAAACAAAGTGAGATATATATGTGAAACTTTCTCAGTATAAACCCACCTGTGTTGCCTCATGTTCTAGCCTCTGTTTCTCCTCCTGTGTGTCTGTCAGCAGCTTCTTAGTCACCGTCAGATCTGTGGTTAGCTCCTCACACTGGTCCTGGTACTAAAACAAAGATACAAACTGAATTATTTTCTAACCTGGTAAGAGTGTAGCATTACAATCATTCAAGAACAATGTAGCAAAACATATATCACTATATAAAGCTTTCTACACACAAGAATACGAGACCGGTGATTTCTCTGGAGTTATTGTAGGATACATACTACAGTTACCTCTAGTTCAAAACAATTCCTCAATAAATAACCTAGGACTAACATATAACCTGAATGGTACTATAACAGAAAGTCTTTAATGGATTTCTCAATCATTTTTATCTTCAACAAAACAATAAACTGATTTTCACAATTCTTTCATCCTAGAACATTAACTGGTAAATATTTCTTATACAGAACATGACGACACAATCAGGTCAAGTCATTACGTGACATAACTTTCCTCATTATTTGTACTTTAAGCAAAGTCATCTATAATTACATCAACATTTATCCTTAATTGAAATGTTAAGTTAACTTTAAAACACTCCTAAGATGTTAAACAGAGCATTAAATGCAGCCATAAGAATGAGCAGTATTCAAAGAAAAATACATTATCAAGGGTTATATGTAACAGAGTGCCAGGCAGATCAAAGGCCACAATATCCAGATCTCAAACACGACCAGTATCAATCAAATTGGATGAATATCCTGATTAAAGGTTTTACATTGCTTAACTGTCTGACATGGTCAAATCAGAGAAAATACTTATGTATTGTGTCAGAAATACTAGGTAACAAAATGCAAAATTCTGCTGTTGTTTGACTTCATGCAAAGCTGGTATGATAGTTCAGTGAGGTAGAGAGAGTCATAGCCAGCAAGAAAAGAAGTGGTGCCTCATTGGACAAGATGGAACTTCTGTTGTTGCATTTGTACCCAACCACTGCACACACCATCTCACAAAAGGCGCTCCATAATTTCATAAATAGATCTACAAATTTCTCTTTGGTATATTTTTTCAAAACATTCATGAAACTCTGACAATCTAAAAAGTCATTTGCTCTATAGTTTGAGATTATTTAGAGAAATAAAAAAACATGTATTAGATGTCAAAGTAACTGAAAAGAAACAATTGTTGACAAGTTGTTTAAGACAAAGAGATTTGAGAATGGAAGATTTAATGCAGCAGTATAAACAACTGACAAAGATGAACACATCAGGAGAAATATGGGATGATTTTAATGTACCCAAGTTGAATGATTCTGAAACTGAAAAAAATGACATTAGAAAATTTGGGAGTCAGTTATGGTCTGTCAGTATATCAATGAGAAATGATTGCGAAAAATTCCATGATAGATAATTATGAACTGCTTATTATACAAGAGGTCCAAGGGCCTTAACGGTCACTTGGGTCACATTTTTGGCCCACCTATCAGTTCCTGGGGGTCAGCCATAATGAGTATTTGTATCTCATCAAATTGTCAGCTTACACTAATAATTCTTATCAAGTTTGAACTATGTCTTAAAAGAAAATAAACAAACTATGCTCAAAAACGTAATTTTCCTATGTAAACCTATAGTAAATTTCTTTCGAGGGGAAATGTGAGACTCTGGGGTCAGGAAATTTACAATTTTGATAAAGCACCTGAAGGCCTTTCCATCAATTAAGAGTATTTGTTTTTACCCTACCTGGGACTAAAGAAGAAGATTTTTGAAATTTCAATCAATTTGACTGTTTTGGCCCAGCCAATTTCCAAGATCTCACATGCTGCACATTACTTCATTTGTCTGGAATTTTCGAAGTTGTATGCCTATATGCGAGACTTAATTTTGTAATGACCAATGAATCCTGAGCCCAGCAAATCATTGTATAATACAGAACAACAATATAGAAAACACAGACTTGATCAGATATAACAACTACTTAAATACAACCTGTGTAATAGAAACCTCAATATGCAGACACAAAAACAAAACCAGTATGCCAGGAATGCAGCCACATCTTTGTGTTTTAATATTAACTTGCTAACAGGTGTATTTAATTCTGATACCCAAAATCTAACCAAATTCTTAAAATCTTAATTAAGGGAAAAAGATCAAATTAGATTTTTGACATTCCAGGTAAGTAACAAATGTAATACAAAATCTACACACCTGGTCAAGTTCACTCCTCAGGGCCAACTTACTCTCCACAAGTTCATGTGCCAGGTCATCATTTTCCTGTTCCAGTCGCATATTAGCCTCCAACAGGCGCTTGCTCTCCCGCTGAAAATATTTTTTTAAAGGAATGCTTTTAATTTTACAAATCTATGGACATGTGTGCTTGTCACAATTAATTAGACATCAAAAATTAATACCAATATTCTATAGAAACTATGTAATTTCTCTGTTAGTTTGATAAGGGTATGGCGTCAATACAAACACTTTGGTGTAGAAAATGTTGCATGCACCTTCAATGGACATGTTTAAAAATCCTATGCCACAAGCCTTACTTATTTATCAAGCATCCATAAAGTCAGAGGTGTCTGTACTTCAGTTCTGAATACCTAAGAATCAGAGGTTACCTCAAATCTTTCTACAGGGTCTTCTTGTTGCATCTCTTGTTCTTTCATAGCCATATATTCCTTCTCATACTTCTTCAGTTTACGACTTGACACCTACAGGACAAATAATTTAACTATACTATTGTGATCTAATGTGGTATAGTATCATGACAATGCTATAAAGGTTATGCTAACATATTTGATCAGAATGAGTTGAAACACAATCTTTATATTTCTTCATATTGTAAAAAATGTGTTTTTGATTACGAAAATTCAAATGTAGAGTTAAATAACATGTAAATGTACATATATTTCAAATATGAACACAGCATATGATGTATAAAACCATTTAACATGAAAAGGAAGTAAGCATTAAGTTCAAGTTTGTAGAGTTTTATATATTTTCATTGTCAAATCCTGGCCCATCCACTTAAAAATTGTGATGAGAAAAAGTTCGTTTTTTTAAATAGACATTGTTCTATATAAAGGGTTAGAGAAACATTCTTTGTCAGCAGAATTTATATCTAGTGTAAGTAACTTATATAAATGTTTATATGACCATACAAAATGTTAACATCCCCATCACAGAAAATGAAAGATTTAACTTCCTCTCTGGACTTCCAATACTGACCTTAATGCCAATGACCATTTGCATGAGTTCTTTAGCTGATTCTTCAGTCCGGTATTTCTTTGGCAGATGCACACGGAAATATTTTAATACTCCTTCAAAATCTAGTGCTAATAGATCCTTTCTGGAATTCTGCAGGAACCAAAAAAATTAAAAACTATCAGGAAAAAGACAACAAACTCAACTTGCTTTCCTACTTATGCTTTCATTAGAAACAAATCTTTATGAGAAGCCTTGCCAAGGGACTGCTGCTGTCGATGAAGTCTTTGAGTCAGCAATACATCTAGAGCATTTGCTAGAAGAATGTCCATACCAAATTTAAATCAATGAATACTGATGTCTGCATCTTTAAGAACATAGAACTATGTGTGAGAAAAGAAAACAGATTATATAGCAAGCTTTGCACTCTCTCTTCATTATTTAAAAATAAATGATAATTTTATCATTGTGTATTAAAAAGCATTTATACACAATAAAGTCACATCTATAATAATGTTTCACAGATAAAACCAATTTTCTGTAATATTCAGCAGATATTGTTTGTGGAGTGTTTCGTCATTTTAAGTGAATTTCCCTGTTACCTTAAGTAATGCTAATGCCACATTAAACACCATATCCCTTCCCTCACAGAGGTACAAGTCAAGGATGTGAAAGACCATGTAAAGAGGAAACTTGGCAGTGAACAGGGTGAGGAACCATTGTGATGCAAACATATGGGTCTCCAGGTTCATTTCCACAAAGTGGTCATGGAGGTCAGAAAGCTGATCCTGTTAATAAAGATATTTAAAGATTCAAAAACTTAATTAAGGATATGCAAATTTTTCAATATCATAATACAAGCTTATAGTACAAGTTCTATAAATTATCAACTTATGCAGTGATGTCATCAATGCTTTTCTAATTGTAAAAACATCTCATTTCTTTTCATTTCTACAGCATTTCTTAAGTTGCTTTCTTCATTCAGGTTGTTTGATCTTTGTTAACAAACTGGTGATTTATAAAATTCTATGTTCTGTCTTTGCAAGTTGTGATGGAAATTAATTGAAAGCAGCATCTATACCTCCATAAGACGATCAAGCTGGTAAAATTTGAGATGCAGCTCCTCAAATCCCTGTTTAAAGAAATCTCGGAGTCCATAATCAAAACAGGTCTTCACCAAAACAGAAAATGCTTGTTCTTCAGGCATCTGAGGTAAAGTAAGTAATCAAATGAGAAAAGATTTAAAACTGAATATTATGCAAAATAATGAAAGCTTTCAATTTCAAAATATTACAATGAAATCAGGGATTAATCTGTACAAATTTTACTACTGAAAAAGGGTAGTGTTCCCTAAGTGGGATGTTTTCCATTGTGAATATAAAGTCTCCATCAAGAAAAAAATATTTTATTTCACATATTTTCAAATCATGGGCAAAACAATCAATCTAACCTGAAATTGTCATATTTTAATCATGTCATCTTAACGTATGTCATTCTAAATTATTTTGTTGAAATAAAAATCCCACAATGCAATATATATTCAAATATGATTAGTGAAATAAAAACCCCACAATGCAATTTATATTTAAATATGATTATAATTCATGTCCCTATCCATTACTATTCAGTTACAATACAATATATATCCCTTATTGTTCCAAACTTGGTCCCTTAGGGGTTGGATGATTTAGCTACTGAATTGGTGCTTCAAAAGTGTTTATGAGCAATTACAAACTATTCACTAATTTCCCTATTCAATCTTCACTGCAACATTCACTCACTCTTCTTAAAACCTTGAGTTGGCTCTTTAGCAGTTATTGGCAGCTCATGACTTAACCACTAAAAGCAATTTTGTTTCGTCTTTTCACTGCATGTACAAATTATGATTTGGCTCTTTTGTGGCTTCTGGTCTGCTCATGGTTGGACAATTGAAGCCTTACTGTCACTATGACTTTGCCCAGTTAAGTTATTGCCTGTACATGGTTGGAAAAACGAACCCTTTTAAAGTCCGAAATCCATTTCTACTGCCTATGACAAATGTGTCTATGTTTCTACATGCTTAAATAGGTATTTCTGCAAGTTTCATGCTCTGTTACTCTACTTACATGGAGCAGGAGAGAAGCAGCCAAGAAAGACAACCCTTGAACATATCCAATCTCTTCATCGTACACAGAGTAGGCCTAAAATTTCAAAGAGTACAAGATATGACAGACTACTAGTGTTGTTATCAAAGTTAATATTATCATGAATTTCACATAGTCATTACATCAAGTAACATCCATTACATTTCAAATTTGAATTGGCAATTATAAGATATGTCATATTACCTACACAAAACTAATTCATCGACCTTGTGTATTGTATTCAATAATCGTTACAGTAACTCAATGTCAGGTATAACAATTGAAATTTTTATAATAGCATTTACATACTAAGTATTTCTAATGGTTTAAAAACATATGGTTTTGAATTTCTCCTCACCTTAACTTATATCAATTCAGCCGTATACTACAAGTAAAATTGCCTCTGCTTTATTTTTGTGTGCAACTTGAAATTGATTGAACTTGCATTGCAAAGTAATATCAAATTATCCCCAAAATAGCCTCGTTTAAGCTGCCACCAGTACCTTACTGATCCTATAGAGGGAGTCTTGGCCCAATCCACCTGTCTCCTTGAAGAAATCATGGGCTGGAAATGTTCGGTTGATGTCTCTTTGTATCACAGATTCATTGGGCGACTCCTATAATTAACAGCAAGAAAATAATCACCTAAGGGGAACAACAGAACCAACATATCTAAAAACATTAGATGGCCAACATATCACCTATAAACTTAACAAGTGTGAATCAATATAATAACCAACTGTATTCCTCAAGTCTGAATGTTTGAAGTTTGTTATCAATAACCAACTGTATTCCTCAAGTCTGAATGTTAGAAGTTTGTTATCAATAACCAACTGTATTCCTCAAGTCTGAATGTTAGAAGTTTGTTATCAATAACCAACTGTATTCCTCAAGTCTGAATGTTAGAAGTTTGTTATCAATAACCAACTGTATTCCTCAAGTCTGAATGTTAGAAGTCAGTTATCAATAACCAACTGTATTCCTCAAGTCTGAATGTTAGAAGTTTGTTATCAATAACCAACTGTATTCCTCAAGTCTGAATGTTTGTTATCAATAACCAACTGTATTCCTCAAGTCTGAATGTTTGAAGTTTGTTATCAATAACCAACTGTATTCCTCAAGTCTGAATGTGAGGAGTTTGTTATCAATAACCAACTGTATTCCTCAAGTCTGAATGTTAGAAGTCAGTTATCAATAACCAACTGTATTCCTCAAGTCTGAATGTGAGGAGTTTGTTATCAATAACCAACTGTATTCCTCAAGTCTGAATGTTAGAAGTTTGTTATCAATAACCAACTGTATTCCTCAAGTCTGAATGTTAGAAGTTTGTTATCAATAACCAACTGTATTCCTCAAGTCTGAATGTTAGAAGTTTGTTATCAATAACCAACTGTATTCCTCAAGTCTGAATGTGAGAAGTTTGTTATCAATAACCAACTGTATTCCTCAAGTCTGAATGTTAGAAGTTTGTTATCAATAACCAACTGTATTCCTCAAGTCTGAATGTTAGAAGTTTGTTATCAATAACCAATTGTATTCCTCAAGTCTGAATGTTAGATGTTTGTTATCAATAACCAACTGTATTCCTCAAGTCTGAATTGTATTCCTCAAGTCTGAATGTTAGAAGTTTGTTATCAATAACCAACGGTATTCCTCAAGTCTGAATGTGAGGAGTTTGTTATCAATAACCAACGGCTAAGTCCAATCTGTTGTGAGGTGTTAGAATGTTACCTTAGTGATGAGGACCCTGTAAGCCTCCAGGAGTTCAGAGTTGTCATGACAGCCAGCCAGGAGTTGCCAAACTTCACCACGGAGTGCCTCTGGAATACCTTTCCTCACCAAGTGGTGTATCTGTTTGGGGCGTTGGGCAAGGTTCTGGTGCCACTTGGTAAGCATATCATGCCAGGCATCCAGTAGGTTTTCATCGGTCACCTCCTTACTGACGGCACCAGAGCCACTGAGTAATGGCTCATCTCCATCTGTTTACATATACACATTTCGTACATGGCATCATCTTTCCAGTTCAACTTACTTAATAGTAAACTCAAATATCAGTTAACGTAAATCAGAAATCAACATAAGAAAACCATGGCTGTTTTGGGGGGGCATTTTTAGGCTGATAACAGGTCTTTTGTATTTCCAAATGATTATATATGTAATATACATTATAGTATAATCCCGTAAGGAGTAAAAAGACCCAATCCAAAATTGTAGAAAATGTCTTCTAAACTCAGATATTAGTGAGTTTACAGGTAGACTCAGATATTAGTGAGGTTACAGGTAGACTCAGATATTAGTGAGGTTACAGGTAAATGTAACCTTAGCTATGACCTTTAGAAATATAAATGTTAAGGTACCTGATTCCTCCTCTGGCTCTTGTGGTGTCTGGATGTCGTCAGGTATCTGCCGTGAAGTATTCAGTCCCTGGAGGCTCATGCCTGCCTTCTTTCGGTCTATCTCGGTCTGACTCTGTACCCCCACCACCTCAAGCATCTGAATATCTGCATCTGGACTCTCCAACTCAGACTGTAAAAGAAAAAAAGATTCTGTACGTGATATGTTTTCTTAAGCTGTTTTCTAGGCCACACAGTTAACAAAAAATTACCTTTGCAAAATGTTTGATTCATCGCAAGTCAATTATACATACCTACACTTCTGTCCAGTAAAAGAAAGGTGCCTTTTTTGGAAAGGATTTACTGATTTGCTCAGATTTGTTTAGTTCTAAGTGATTCACAATGGATGCACAACACACTAGAATGTATACCGAATGTGATTTTCACATTTATTAAAAACAATCTGTTGATGATACCAAAAACACAACCACAGCCTGATACTAGACACAACACTACCACAGCATGTTACCAAACACAACACTACCACAGCATGTTACTAGACACAACACTACCACAGCCTGTTACTAGACACAACACTACCACAGCCTGTTACTAGACACAACACTACCACAGCATGTTACTAGACACAACACTACCACAGCCTGTTACTAGACACAGCACTACCACAGCCTGATACTAGACACAACACTACCACATCCTGTTACTAGACACAACACTACCACAGCCACAACACTACCACAGCATGTTACCAGACACAACACTACCACAGCATGTTACCAGACACAACACTACCACAGCCTGTTACTAGACACAACACTACCACTGCCACAACACTACCACAGCATGTTACTAGACACAACACTACCACAGCATGTTACCAGACACAACACTACCACAGCCTGTTACTAGACACAACACTACCACAGCCTGTTACCGGACACAACACTACCACAGCCTGTTACCAGACACAACACTACCACAACCTGTTACCAGACACAACACTACCACAGCCTGTTCCCCCACCTGTATGTATGAATATGGTGATAGAAAAAATCTACCATATGAGTTACCATATGAGCTGTGTTTAGGTGCAATACTTTGAGGTGGAAGCCCAAAAGGTATTCTTGGTGACATGAAATCAACCTTTGCAGTCAATTTAGTGCCAACTACAATATAACAAATATCATATGTTGTGTTGACATGTTTATGGGGATGTGACTTCAGGGAGCCTCCCTCCTGTACTGCAAGGAATATAGTCAATCTTTTCAGCATTCCGTGATTACACTCCAGAAACTATTGTGTCTATTTCTTAATAATCTACTGCTGTTCAGTATATTTACCAACAACTGCTTTCACAGCAACTGTAATACACATTTCACCGGTCTTTGTGTCAGCGGTAAAGAGATGTTCTCATAGGCTTCTTCTCCAAGATTGTTTTATATCGCTACATGATGCTAAATAGTAACGCATACATAACATAATACACAAATTCTCAAAAGTAGTAAGTAACCACTATTTTTAAATCAGTTATTTTGTTGACAACAAGTTACAACATCCAAACAGTAAATGAAGAAGTACAGAGAAATGTTGAAACTTTCTCAGAAATATGGGAAAGAGATCTTTTCATATTGTTAAATTCCGTTATCCAGCAGTAGATAAACTCTAAGTTTCAGAAACCTTGATGTGAGACACTTGAACACATACTTTACAAGCCTTTCTTAGCCCAACTATCAGGTAGTGATTTATAGAACTCCACAACTACATCCTCAGCAACACCGTAGACTGCATCAATAATATTGATCTTTGGTGTTATTTACAGAACTCAACATATTCTCATTATAGCAGCACGAATATGAATGGTACCAAACCCATGGCATATACACACATACACAAGCAGATCCCTCCTATACAAAATTCACTTTTCTATCACAGAAATAATTGCTCCCTCACACACAACACACAAAGTTTCATTACATGAACCATTTAATTTCACTCCCTCACACACAAAATACATTTCTCCAATATACACAAAACACACTGTACCATTACACACACTACTCCATCTTACTTAACTCATTGCATACAAAACTCACAGCTCAATACACAACTCTCTCACACCTAAATCAGTCAAAAACATCATTACATCACACACAAAACACCCTGCTCCATCACACACAAGACACAGATATATTACACACAACACACTGTTCCTTTACACACAAGACATAGCTGTATCACAAACATACCACAGCTACATCACACATCAAGCACACTGATCTCTTAAACAAAACACATAGCTTCATCAGATCTAAAACATTGTTCTCTTGCATGCAAGACACAGCTCTGTCACACACAATACACAGCTACATCACGAAGAAAACACAGCTACATCACATGTTAAACATGTAGCTTTTTCACACACAAAAGACACATCTCCCTTATCCACAACACACAACTCCCATATACACAAAACACAGAGTTTCCTCATATCTAAAACACTATGTTCCTTTACAAACAAGACATAGCTCAATCACATAAAACAATCTGCTTCCTCACACAAAGAACTCCCTAGCACACACAACAGATAGCGCCATATATGGATCCATTCCAAATCAGATATACAGCTCCCTTACTGAATAAAAACTTCTCACCTATATATCACATATGAGTTCTGACTGTCCAATTTATATATATATAAATAAAAAAAAAATAAAAAACACTTGCCGTAACAAACCAAAGCAGAAGGTCACAAGATTTGTAGACATGCACTTGATACCTCAACCAAAACCCCTCAAATATATGATATATAAAGTGTACCTTATATCAATTTCCACATATCTTTCATATAAAATGAATGTTCATACTAACAGCTTCTTCCTACAAATATAATCGTTCAAAAACCTGTTATAACCCTCACACGAAGTTTGGAACAAATCATGATTCTCCATGACACAAATCACATTGTATTAACAATATTGATTCCTGATGTAATTTTTCAACTCGCCTCACATTGTACTGACAGATTCATTATAATCTTGTAATTACACCTAGTCCTATACGTGCCTGTAAAGCCAGTAAGTCTAACACAGTGCTAACTCCTCTAGGTAAGCCTCATACCTGCATACAGCTTTGGTTTCCCATCTCATTCCGTGTCTTTTGAAACTTCAATAAAATCAAACTAAGAGATCTGACAAGACAGCAGCAGCCTTGCTGATTTCATGAGAACGTTGAGAGACTGGTCAATACATTCTGTTGGTAGAGGTCTTCCTAGAATGTCTCCATACACATTGGAGGTTGAGACACAAATGGTGCCCTCATCATCAGATCACAAACCTACGTTTATACAACACATGTACCATGTTTTGCAATGTCACTGACAAGATCTATACATACAGGGCAGACATTTTCCTTTTAAGAATAATGTTGAATCATTACGCGAGTCAATCACTCGTAAATACTTCAGACTTGAGTGGTCCCCTTTAATCTATGTTATGCAGGTTCACAGTCCTGAATCTCCTAAAATTGTAATTAATGTATAATTGTTTCTAACAAGTACATTCAAGCAGAGTTAAGATTTTTCCTTGTAAAGATCAATATACATTGTTCCTTTACTGTCATTTTTTCCTGCCCAAGTTTTGTGGGACAATGATTTGAATTAATACATCAGAAAGCATGACTGAGAAATTCTAATTTGTTTATTAAATGAAGCATCTACAGTGTAAACATATCAGTAATCGATTTCATTCTGATGTTTTTCAGTAACTTTTCACACATGTAAGGTACAGTTACTAAAGATTATTTTGTTTGTTTTACACACACAAACAACTATCTAGACTGGTGCAAATGATATGGCCCTAGGTATCAATATCACACACCATTACATATCTGATCAAGCAGGTACATTAACAGTGAAAATGCCTCATCATTCCACTCCACAAAACTTGAAAGCCTGAGGCAAACTAAAGCTAGACTCCTGTTAGTTTCGTACTTTTTCATTTTAATAATAAACCAAAGCAAATCAATAAAAGCTTTACAAAGCAACCTTATCTCTTGTTTTCCTTTGCTGATACATCTTATAGACCCACGATATTAAAACTTACGGATTCATTAACTTACTGTATCTGTAACCATTCATTCTGCCAAACTCATCTCTTAACAAATGCAAATGTTAATGCACACAAACATCGTACATATACAATTTACATATATCCCTATAACACAAACTTCATTACATAAGGGTTACACTTTGTATACCAATACTGATAAGTAACAATAAGTAAAAAGTAAATAATGGACGCAGGCAAAACAAATGCCTCTATATCCATATCTACAATTGTATGATGATCAGGAGATGCTTCCTATAAAAAGTCTGATATTTCAGTTATTACATATGTATAGCCAATTAAATGCTAAATAGCAAAAACATTTCACTATTTTCAAGTTGAAATGACATTAAAAGTTTCCTCTTTACATATTGTTTCTGGGAAGGCGCACAATTTTCCAACTCCAAGGCGGTCCACGGACACAGTATACATAATCCTCCGTTTCATTGTTTTCTTTCTGCTTGCTTCCTCGTATAATGCCTTCTCTGCTTCTCTTTCACAATGTGTTAAGTCGTTTCTTATTCCTACAGAGGAAAGTTGGCTAGGATTTCTTATTTTTCTGATATTTTTAAAGATTCCTTTCTTTGGTTCTTGTGACTCCAAACGAACTAGAATAGGCCGGCTGTTATTGGTTATGTCACTGGACTCTGGTTTCTTTCCAATTCGTATAATTTTTCTAGGCCTATCATTGTTTGACACTACACAGACTTGTAATAAATTTCCTACAACTTTAGCATCTTCTTCCATACGTTTCTTGCCTTCGTGATGGGACTGTTCTGGAACTCCAAATAGAATCATGTTGTTTTCTGTCTCTGCTTGCTCTTTAATTTCAGCAACAATTTCGTCTTTGCTTGGTGCAGATTTCTCAGATTTCAAGTTCATTTCCAGTTTAGCAATTAACCCTTTACCTCTCTTTCAAGTTCTGCAACTCTATCTTCAAATTCTTGTGTGATTTGCCTACACCTCTCTTCTATTTTTCTGTCTGCCAGAATATTCTTTTCGACTGTCATTCTGCATGGTGGATAAAACCACATTGTATCTGATTTTGATAGGATGTCATATTTCTTTG